TCTGTCAAGACTGGCCCGTACGGGCAGGGGTACCTTTACCTTTACCTATACAGTGGTACCTCAGGTTAAGTATTTAATTCATTCTAGAGGTCTGTTCTTAACCAGAAACTGTTCTTAACCAGAAGCACCACTTTAGCTAATGGGGCCTCCCACTGCTGCCGCGCCGCTGGAGCACGATTTCTGTTCTCATCCTGAAGCAAAGTTCTTAACCTGAAGCACTATTTCTGGGTTAGCGGAGTCTGTAACCTGAAGCGTATGTAACCTGAAGAGTATGTAACCTGAGGTACCACTGTACTACGCTCGAGACCTTAGAATTCTTATAACACCATCACCACCGACTCATCACAAGTCCACCATTTTGTACAGGAAATGTTCCCAAAGCAAAGCCCTTTGTGTGAGAAGCTTACTTGGAGACAGAAACAGAAGAGGTCTGAATTTGGGAAAAGATGTCTCTGAATTCCACCAAAGAAGGACCAGTAGGATGCAGACCACTTTGCCTCAATAAATCCCATTGTTTTGGGTGGGTGTGGTTTTGGTTTTGGTTTGCTTTTGCTTCCAGTTGCAGTTTGGGACTGGGCAGGCTGAGATCTTATATTTGTTGTGCCTGGAACCAATGGCCTGACCTGAACGGAAGTTGGGAGACGGAGCCTGGAGCTGGGAGGAGAGACTTCCTGGCAAGCCAGGAACTCAGGTGTTGCAGGAAGAAATAAAGAACAGCATAACCTCCAACATTTCTCCGATGAGAATAGGGACGTTCTGCTCCATAATAACTCCGTATAGTTAAAGCTCTGGTTTTCCCAGTAGTGATGTATGGAAGTGAGAGCTGGGCCATAAAGAAGGCTGATTGCTGAGGCTCCAAGACTTTGGCCCCCTCATGAGAAGAGAAGACTCCCTGGAAAAGACCCTGAAGGAGAAGGGGACGACAGAGGACGAGATGGTTGGACAGTGTTCTGCAAGCTACTAACATGAGTCTGACCAAACTGCGGGAGGCAGTGGAAGACAGGAGTGCCTGGCATGATCTGGTCCATGGGGTCATGAAGAGTCAGACACGACTAAACAACTAAACAACAACAGCTCAATAATGATAATTTTACTATTTATACCCCACATATCTTAACTGGGTTGCCCCACCCACTCTGGGTGGCTTCCAACATACATAAAAACATAATAAAACATTCAACATTTTAAAAACTTCCCTATACAGGATTGCCTTCAAACATCTCGGGGTGTCAGATAACTCCATATCCTCCAACGTTTCTCCAATAAAAATAGGGACATCCTAAGGAAAAGCAGGACATTCCTGGATCAAATCAGAAACCGGGATGGATGTCCCTGGAAAATAGGGACACTTGGAGGGTCTGGAACAAGAGCAAGATGAGGTTTTCTCAGGAGAGCTGAGGTGAAAAGGCTGCGTCAACTCCTTTTCTTATAAAATCAAAGCATTAGCCGCCTCTCTGTTTCTTTCTCACCTGGAGTACTGCGCTTCAGAAACGTCCCTGTAACTCCCAAATGTCTGGAACCAACAAAAGCAGAAGATAGGAAGGTGCCGTATATGGAGTTGGACCACTGGAACATCTTGCTAATAAGTATTGTCAACAACGAGTACCTTGTTATTACCAACACACTCTTTCAACAGAAAAATAAATTTAAAACTTCATAGAGGCACCTCTTAAAAAGGTAAAGGTACCCCTGCCCGTACGGGCCAGTCTTGACAGACTCTAGGGTTGTGCGCCCATCTCACTTAAGAGGCCGGGGGCCAGCGCTGTCCGGAGACACTTCCGGGTCACGTGGCCAACGTGACAAAGCCGCATCTGGCGAGCCAGCGCAGCACACGGAAACGCCGTTTACCTTCCCGCCAGTAAGCGGTCCCTATTTATCTACTTGCGCCCGGAGGTGCTTTCGAACTGCTAGGTTGGCAGGCGCTGGGACCGAGCAACGGGAGCGCACCCCGCCGCGGGGATTCGAACCACCGACCTTTCGATCGGCAAGCCCTAGGCGCTGAGGCTTTTACCAACAGCGCCACCCACGTCCCTAGAGGCACCTCTTAGGCTATGTTATTGTCATAGTTGTCAACGTTTCCCTTTTTTTAAGGGAAATTCCCTTATTCCGAATAGGATTCCTCGCAAGAAAAGGGAAAAGTTGACAGCTATGGTTATTGTCCATGCTAAAGATCGCTGTGATGTGCTCCTTAGCAGAGCTATGAAGAGCGCCGACGACTGCTGGACAGATCACCGACTAATATGCTCCACGGTGGCTATCAAGATTATACCTCAACGCAGGTCTCAAGGAAGGAAACCAAGGCATAAAATGAACACTCAAGCCCTTCAAGATCCCATTAAGCGGGATTGCTTCCAAATGACTCTTAAGGCCCATCTGCTTTCAGAATTCCCTGACAACATCGAGGAACACTGGACCAAGTTAAAAACATCCATTATTGCAGCCTGTGAACAAACTATTGGATACCAAACCAAGAAACACCAGGACTGGTTTGATGAGAATGACAGTGACATTGAACGTATGATTGACAAGAAAAGGAAGGTCTTTCAGATCTGGCAAAGAGATAGAAACTGTGCCACTAAGGAAAAAAACCTATGCCAGCGCTAAGGCTGAGGTTCAAAGAAGAACCAGAGAACTAAAAAATGCCTAGTGGATTAAAAAAAACCCTCAAGAAATCCAGCACTTAGCTGATGCTCATGATGCACAGAGTTTCTTCAAAGCCACTAAGACCATCTATGGGCCAATAAATCATGGCATATGCCCCCTACGCTCAGCGGACGATACCACACTTCTAAAAGATACAGAAGCCATTGCACTGTGCTGGAAAGAACATTACCAACATCTCCTTAACCGCAGCAATGGGTCGCCAGGATTTCAGAGGGGCTCCTCTTCCGACCTGATATTCCATCAGGGATCGAACCCGCATGCAAAAGCAGACTCCCTTCCCTCTGAGCTATAGCCCCTTCCCCCCCCCCTCCATCAGTGTGCACACTCAAAAAACCCAAAACGTAGAGAGTTATTTTTAAATTGTGCAGGCAGCATGTGAATCAATGTGTTTGAATCATCGAGAGCACAAGATGGTGGGCTTTCTGGCTGCTGCGTCTGAGAAGTCTTCTGAGAGTGGGCTCGGGGGTCCGGAGGGCCAGTGCGCCAATCGGGGGCCGCATACTTTGCCACGCCGCTCATCCTCGGAGATGCTGTCATGCTGCCACATCACCACCTTGCCGGCTGGAAAAGCGCATTGAGGCAGAGGGCCTTGTGGGGCGTGGGGGAGAGCGAGGCTTTGGGTGGGGAGGAGATGGCAGGGAGCATTCCATACAAACGAGGTGAGATCAGAGTTTATACATAAAAGGGAAATGTCATTAGCGTTGCTTTAAATGGAAATGCAATCAAAGGTTCTTCCCACTCCTTTTGTCTTAATTAGGGACTATTGATATGTATTCCTTCCTCTCCAAAACCAGGCTGGAAGGTGTCTGGGGATTAATAAAGTTCATCGGAAGAGCTCTCCTCTCCCGCCCCACTGCCAGCCCCCTCCAACCCCAGCAGGGGGGCCAACTCATGCGCCTCTCCCAGGTAGCTCTGATCCCACCCCCCTTGCTCTCCAGAGAGGGCAGAGGCCCAGATATAGGGCACCCGCGTCAGGAAGCAGAGCTGTGAAATCACACAGTCAGGAGCACGGAAGCTGGCACCTCGGTGGGTGTCAAATCCACACACACACACACACCAGCCAGCCTCCACCTCACCTGCCACCATGCGCGCACACCCTGGAAGGTGGCACATCTGTCAGGCGCACGGAGGAGAGGTGGCCCTGCAAATGGGACGGACAGATGGGAAGGGGTGGCAGGAGGGGTGCGAAAGAGAGACCTGGGCCCGCGGAGACAGGAAGACACGCAGGCGCCAGGGGCGCGAGGAGCACACAGCTCTCCGCCGGCGCATAGAATTTCATGCGCAGAGGGAGAGAGGGGGACATGCGCGCTTGCTCTCAGGCACAGAATAAACGCACGCACAGGTGCAATTCCTGGGGCCAAAAACAGGCAGGCAGGCAGGGTTCACACGGAAATATCACACCCTCGCACTCCTCATTAAGTGAGCCAACCGCTTTGTACTGGCAACCAGCGATGGGAATGTTCAGTCAAGCTAGAGGCCTCCATTTGGGGGGGGGGGGTTAAAGCATACTGTGGGGTATCAGAGAATTGTGGAATGGTAGAGTTGGAAGGGACCCTGACGGTCATCCAGTCCAATGCAGGAATCTAAACTGAAGCAGCTCTGGCAGATGGACACCCAAAAAAAGGTAAAAAATGGCACAGGACCCTTGACAGTTAAGTCTAGTCGGGACGACTCTGGGGTTGCGGCACTCATCTCGCTTTACTGCCAAGGGAGCTGGCATTAGTCTGCTTCCGCAGACAGTTTTTCCGGGTCATGTGGCCAGCATGACTAAGCCGCTTCTGGCGCAATGGAACCCCAAACCAGAGCAGCGCACGGAAATGCCGTTTCCCTTCCCGCTGGAGCGGTACCTATTTATCTACTTGCACTTTTGGGCGTGCTTTCAAACTGCTAGGTTGGGACAGAGCAACGGGTGCTTTCGAACAGCAACAGTTGGAGGCAGTAAATGCTTCTGAGTGCCAGTTGCTGAACAACGCAGGAGGGAAGAGGGGTCTTGCATTCGAATCCTGCTTGCGGGGTTCCCTCTGGCCACTGTGAGAACAGAATGCTGGACTAGATGGAGCCATTGGCCTGCTGGCCGTATTTTCTTCTTTCCTGGCGTTCTTAGGAAATGGGAGTGATAGGGAGCAGCTTGTGTGTGTGTGTGTGTGTGTGTGTTGTCTTTTTCTACGCAAAGGAGCCCAGCTTGCCTCCACCCCTTTCCCTCAGTTCCACCTCAGCAGGGTCCCTCGCCCTCAATTCAAGCAAGACAAAACCCAGGCCTCTCTCGCGCTCCCCCTTTCGTGGAGGGGAGAGGGCCTTGGATGGGGGTGAGGGGGAAAAGAAATCATGGTGTCATTTCTGCACACCCTGTCCTGCCATTCTCCACCACTACAGCTGTTCCACTATTCCTCCTTTCCAAGGACGGAGCTGTGGGAATGGGAAGACATTTGCTGATCTCCTTCCCTGGTGAGTGATTGATGTCGGTTTTAAATTAAAACCCTATATATTTCCCCTTCTTTTAATAAAAGTTGGTTTCTAGGAACCCCCCCTGCCTATCCGCTCCTCCTGTCCTGACTATGCCACCGCCAGATAGTTGATAGACGGGGTCCATTGTTCCTGAGGTTTGCTGAGCACACAGGTTTCCAACAGCACGGGAGGGACGACTTCAACTCCTCCACCCCGAATGAAACCGCCTTCTGCAATCTGTCACCGCTTCTTTCTCTTTTTCAGGGAGGGAAAATGTGGGCACTTCGAATCGGCTGAAAATTCCGGCAAGCTCCTGGGGACGACGACTAAGACCTGCTTCTGAGAGCTTGGAGGCTATAGGGAAGGATAAAAATGTTGTAGATTCAGGAGAGGATCTATCAAGTTCTTTCTCCCTTTCCTGATCTTTTAAATCCAGTTCTTCCCATTTTGTCAGCAACTCGCAACTCTCCGTTAAAATTATCCTCGTGAAAGTTCACCAGCGTTGTTTTAGCGAGACTTTCCCCTATTCGACACATTTCCAGACGCAGCTTTGACTTGTGAATACTTTTTGGCAAGCCGTTTCCCCTCGATTTGGTACGTCGCTCTGATGAGTGGGTGTGTTTATTTGCACCCTTCCACCCCGGTGTGTGAATTTTTGTACCCATTGCTCAGCTGGAGAACTGAGTTGCAATATTCGGAGAATTTTTTGGAGGCGGCATTTTGGGAAGTGCGAATCGCTTCGGGAAGTGTGAATTTTGTAGGTTCCCCCTGTCAAATGCAAACTGAACCTAATCTACCCCCCATCCCTTCATCAGAAGCCAGTCTTACAAGTGTGGGGTTCACCCCACAGAATTTTGGCTACCAAGGGGGCAGCAGGGGACCCCATTGCCAAGTCCAGATTGAACATAATCAATGGGTTACGGAGGCAGGAGCTGAGATGAAAACCGAAAGGGCCTTGCAACATCACTGTGTTGGGGTGGGATCCAGTCCATAGCTGTCAACTTTTCCCTTTTCTTGCGAGGAATCCTATTCAGAATAAGGGAATTTCCCTAAAAAAAAGGAAAACATTGACAGCTATGATTCAGTCACAAATTCAGGGTGTGCAGTTATTGTCAACCAACTGCGTGGGAATTTTCAGAAGCCAAAAAATATTGTGATTTTTAAACATATAGTGCGAATTGTGAGTTTGAACTCATCACGCCAAAAATTGGATAAAGTCACACCAAAGACATGGTGCCCAACACCCAAACATTGACGAAGACCACTGCCCCCCACCCCCGAACTTCAGGAACCCCCAAGTTTGGTGGCAATCTCTGGAGAGGCGTCTGAAACCCCAGAGGAACAGATGGACGGATGGCGAAACCGCTTTCCAAAATATATAGAAGATTGGGAGGTCTGGTGCTGTGACAAATCCGCTTCCAGAAAAGAGGAGACGTTTTGTGATAAGGGAAATGGCCGGGAGAGGCGCTGGAAAGTCTAGGGCAGCATCATCTAATCTCCCTTCAGACAAATCAGGATGAATGCTCAATAAACAGGTTTCTTGGGAGCCAGCAGAGATCGAGATGAACTGAGGATTTGGCAAAGGTGGCAGAGACAGGAGAGGAGAAGCAGAAGGATTGTGCCTTGCAGATGCGATTTCCCCGAAAGATTTTCAGGGCTGGGCTCTGATTGATATACATATATATCTCCTCATGACTTTTATTTTTTGTATATTAAGCAGACCTACTTCATAGTCCAGGGACGCGGGTGGCGCTGTGGGTTAAACCACAGAGCCTAGGACTTGCTGATCAGAAGGTCGGCGGTTCGAATCCCCACAACGGGGTGAGCTCCCGTTGCTCAGTCCCTGCTCCTGCCAACCTAGCAGTTCGAAAGCACACCAGTACAAGTAGATAAATAGGTACCAACTCTGGCGGGAAGGTAAACGGTGTTTCCATGCGCTGCTCTGGTTTGCCAGAAGCTGTTGTGACGTGGGGTTTGTGATTTCAGCTCTCTTGACATCATATGCTGGAGTCAGTTCTCTAGTAACACTTCTTTATTAAAGCAAACAAGACTAAGACCTGAGGAGGGAAGAGCTACATTTATAGGGACAGGGAACTAGCTAGAAAGGATACATTTTGGAGGGAACAATATCAGGCAATGACAGTCCTGCCTTTTGGAGGAAACCAATAAGACAGAGGATCCAAATACAGCAACTTAAATGAACCAATAGTAGCTGTACCCTCTGGAACCAAAAGACAGTTACTTTACCCTAATGCAAATACAGACAATAATAATAATACAGATATAAAATCCTTTGACTCAATACACAACAGAAGCGGCTTAGTCCTGCTGGCCACATGACCCGGAAGCTGTACGCCGGCTCCCTCGGCCAATAAAGCGAGATGAGCGCCGCAACCCCAGAGCCGGCCACGACTGGACCTAATGGTCAGGGGCCCCTTTACCTTTACTTCATAGTCCCACCCCTACTTTGCTAATTATGGGGGTGAACCCAGGAACTACGAAAGCCATTGAAGTCACTCCCGGTTTTTAAAAAAAGATTTTTAATTTTATTTTATAATGCATATACACAACAGAGAGAGCAGTTATAACAGCAGATAAATGTGTGTGTGTGTGTGTGTGTGTGTGTGTGTGTGTGTTAAGGCCGAGGTCACAACCAATCAGGACCTTAACATCACAAGTAGGCTTTATTTTTTCCCAAAGCATTAAGGCTATTAGGGCAAGCTTGCACTGGAAATTAAGGCAACTGAATAGCTACGCAAATAATTTTTCAAAAAAACAAACAAACCGCCTAATTACAAACAGCGCTCTTCTCGCCAGCACTCAGAAATGCCTGTTGTTATTTTTTAATTAAAAACCACAAAAGTGTCGGAAGATTTGCACGCAGCCGTCGCCGGCTCTGCGTCTGGGGAGTGGCTGTTTCAGATGAAGCGAGCGCTTGTGGGGTTGGTGACATATTTGGGGCAAGCGGGCTAAATAAAAATAAAAACCGGGGTGGTGTTGCACGTGGCAGAAAAGTGAGATAGGCTCTTGAAAGCCCAAATTTCCTTTTCCTGGGCCATTGGGCCCTGTAAGCCCTGCAACCAGAAAGCACATTTCTTCCTGTTAAGTTGTGGGTGAACATATCAGACGACACAGTGATTCTTCAAACAGCTCTTGTTTATTCAGAGGCCAGAACAGAACTGAGCTGAAGGGCTCAGTCAGCCTGCTTATATAGAGCTCCAGTACAACGTTACTGTAGCAACTTTCTAAAACTACCCAATCACTGAACGTCACTTTCGATCCTTCATTTGCATAACTATCTACAGCATCCCCCTGCTGGCCCAGGGTGAGAACTTCAGTACATAACACCTCCCCCAAAGAATTCTGGGCAATGTAGTTTGTTGCGGGTTGCTGGGAAGTCTAACTCTGCCGGGGGCAAATTCCTGTTCCCAGGGTTCTCTGAGGGAAAGAATTTGCTCCAAATTCACTTTAAATGTGTAGGATGCGGTGCAACGGTTAGACACCATTTTCCAGCCTAACCTACCTCACAAGGTTGTTGAGAGGATGAAATAGCGATGTACAGCAGCAAGAACGTTGATTGCACAAAATTGGAAGACTGGAGATATACCAGCTAAAGAACAAATGGCAAGAGAAGTTGATGAACTATGTAGAACTGGCAAAAATGACAGAAAGACTAAGAGGAAAAAGACAACAGAGGCTTTGAAAAAGAATGGGAACCATTTATATTATATTTGCCGAAACAAAGAAAGTCAATAGACTTGATGGCAGGGTTTAAATAAACATCCACATTATTAGTATGAGAAAATGTTTAGAAAATAGCGGAATATTATAGCGTATTTACTTTTATTTTTAGGTTTTTAGGCTTGATGTGATGTTATTAATATCTTTTTCTGTTAGGAGATAGCAAAGCGGGTGAAAACAGAAACAAACCAGAATCGGAAGTTGGAGGACGCCTAGAAGGGGAGGGAGGAATATATAATAAATGCTAAGAAATTGAGATGTATGTAATGAATGAAAGAGAAAAATGAATATTTTTATTTTTATTAAAAAGAGAGGATGAAATAGCGGGGGGGGGGGAACCTTGAGCTCCTTGGACTAAAAAGGTGGTATATCGATGTAATAAATAAATAAAATTAAATGTGTACATAGCCTTAATGCTGATCCTTCCATGAGTATATCAGAAGAGACTTCCTGGGTCAATCCAGTGGGGCCTGTCTAGTCCAGCATCCTATTTTCCTGGTGGCCGACCAGATCCCTGTGGAAAACCTGAAAGCAGGACCCGGGTGCAAGAAAACACTATAGTTCCTGTCAAGGAACTGCCATCGGAGCCAGGAGTGGAGGCAAGGCTCCCAAGCGATGCCGGAGAAGGGCCCAGCAGGGAGAGAGGGGACTCATCGGCCGGGGAAGGAAATCAGCGTGACACCAGGGAGAAAGGGGGGCAGAGGAGGGCTTTGGAGAGATGGCTCCAGGACTCTTCGCCAGAGACCAGCGGGGAGAGCACGGGTCCTCCACTGCCCACACCCACCCTGCGCAGAAGGCTTCCGCGCAGGGAGGCTAGGCGGAGACTTGGCGTCAAAGAACTTTTATGCTGGAAGAAGTTCAGGAAACGCCCACTGACGGATTCTGCCAGTGACTGAGACAGACGCGGAGTCAGGGCTGTCCAGCCAGGGAAAGGTTTAACCAGGCAACCTTGCCAAGAGTGGCGGCAACTTACGCACGAGCAACCCCAATTTCCATTACAGTTCCCAACTACTGGAATACAGAGGCATGCTCAACTGGACTTGGGAAGATGTGCTGAGGGTGGGAGCAATCCTCGTAAGTTTTAAAAAATTGCATATTAAGCAGACCTACTTCATTTGCCTAGTATATCGCCCCTGATTTCCTAGTTATGAGGGTGAGCCCAGGAAAGCCGTTGAATTCACTCCTGTTTTTTGTAAATATTTTTATTTTATTTCATAACGCATACGCAACAGAGAGAGAGCAGTTATAACAGCAGGTGAAAATTAGAAGGTAAGACAAAACTATGACATGGGCAATAAGTGGTTCCATGTGGGTTAAAGTAAGAAAGTCCAAATAAACAATATTAGCGTTATCCAACTGGGCAGTATACTTCCAGATCTGCCAGGTTTGTGATCAAAAACGACGGTTCCATTGCATCTTACTTCTTTCCGCAGGGCCTGTAAGACAGAGTTGATCCGCCTGGCCTTTGGCTTGGAATCAACTTGATCCCCTTCCCCTCTTTCCTTTTTCCTTCAGTGATGGAACTCCTATTTGGGGACTTCCCTGGCTTTATTCTGGCCCACATAGGACCAGTCTGGATAGTCAGCCTTGGTGAAGACTTGACGTTTTCATCCCCAAAAAGTTTTGAGTTTCTACTGAAATGAGGCTGCATTTTAATGTTGTATTTTAATCTTGTTTTTAAGTTGCATTTTAATCAATTGTTTTTATACCTGGTGTTAGCCGCCATGAGCCCGGTCTTGGCTGGGGAGGGCGGGC